CCGAAAGAATACCTCTACAATATAAAATCTAATAAAATATGCTGAAAATATTTCTAAAGTGTCTGTAGAGTAAAAGTTTTCTAGACATTTTTTAAAATGCCTCTATAAAATGTCTCTACACTATAAAACTCCTGATCTAAGAGGCAATTTGCAAAACGCCTCTACAAAAGTGTTTTTATATAAGGTTTTTGTTGTAGTGTATTTAACAATGAATCAAATGATAGGAAAAGAATTAATAATTACTTAAATTTTTTGAATAAGACGAACGGTCAAACATGTTTAAAAAAGTCAACGGCGTCAAACATTTTGGGATGGAGGGAGTACTACATAAGCTAATCTAAACATAGTATATATACAAGAGCTAATATGTATAATATTAGCTATAAGGTTATCTCTAATTTTTTTTCTCCCGTATTTCTCTCGCTTGTTTAATTAATACATTCACTTTGGAGAATATATAGAGTTACCTCTAATTTTTTCTCCCCTGTTTATCTCACATGTGTAATTAATGTATTTATTTTGGAGCATACGTAGAGTTAGCTCTTGCATGATTACTAGCACTCCAATTACAGTAATCTCTAGCTACTCACCAGCATGTTTCTAATTAACATTTCCTCTTCATACAAATACTACTTCCATCACAAAATAAATTGATTTATACTCTCTCTCCGTCCCAAAATAAGTGAGTGCACTTATTTTGAGATGGAGGGAGAAGCTACGAGCTTAAATATGGATATATATATATATATATATATATATAGCCAAGAAAATCAATTTAATTTGGAATGGAGGGTGTATTTATGTATACTAGAAATAGTGGCGCGCTACGCTGCGCCGGTTGATGATGCCAATGAACAAAGAATAAACATAATTGCGCAAACAGGCTCCAGAAAATTGCAAATTGAATGTGGAATTAATCATGATTGCTATAACATGTTGAAGACACTTACTGAGTACTAATTACCATTAACTTGTATACACAGAATATTGTATGCAAGTTTGCTTTAGTACACATCTGAAAGTAGAAAACTTTAGATGAAACAAAATAGTTTTGGTATATTATACATCCGTCCACCTCAGAAATTAAACATACTCACCGAATGGTTAAACTACCGTCTACCACTGGCTGAAGACGATCAGATCAGCTGTAATGGTAACTACCATCTGCCACTGGCGGAAGAGGATCAGATCAGCTCCAATGTTAAGTAGCACCGCAAACTTCGCTAGTAATCCTTCAATATTAAGAAAAGGAGATTAATCAATGCTTGACTGATTTGAATATTGACAAATTAAGCAACGATAATTTGTACAATCCCATAGGAAACTATATATACTACAGATATCCCACTCATTCAAAATTACAACACTTTGAGGGTTTGGTTATTTCTCTATCATATCAACTACGGTGAAAAGGAACCGCTAAACTTAAAAATGTTGAAAAGCAGCTCTATTTTTAATTGATGTAGGGCTAGGCAGTTGCGATAGTGATACTATAGTGAATTTTTCTTGCTGAAACATTGAAAGTTCTATTGCCAGAACAAGTGTTTCCATGCATATATAACAAAATCAATCTGTAGCATTTAGAAACAGTTAGATATGGTGAAGTGGCCAAGAAAACGTGATGCATCTATACTGATTACCCTGAATGCAAAATAGGAGTCATTGGCTGGAGATTAGTAGTTTGGGATGGATGAATCACCAGGATACATGAAGCCACATTTATCCTGTCATCTCGCTCCTTGGTGGGTGTGTGAAGCCATCTCTATTTCCGACAGCAAATGTTTTGCTACTGTGAACTGAAAACCAGTAATTCAGTTTTAGAAGAAGGATAACTATGTAGGAAAAAAGAAACATAATTATGGAAACTATAATAATTGCATTGAAAGAACTTTTGCGGAAGGTCTGAATGACTATAAAAGAACTAAAGAGCAATACCTCACCATAGAGAGTGATTATAGCGGAAGGGATGAAAAAAAATCTTACAGGTAAATGTACAACATACCAGCATATATACAACCCATAATTGACCATATTGGCCCATTCAATCATGTACCAGCAAGGAGCACTCCAAAAACGAAAAGGATCTAGTCCATCCAATCCAATGATCTAACATATTGCCAGGATAGGTATAACAATCCTCATACAAAAAATACTGATTTGCATTTCAACAGCTCAGTAGAAAATAATCATATATGGAAAATTAATAGGAGATATGGTTGCTGATTTGCATTTCATGGTAGGAATTTAAAGGAATTGTAGAATTTATAGATTTGTGTTATCCACTTGACTATTTAAATAAAAACCAACTATGTTTTTTATACTAAGTTATCTAAATATCCTTCTGTAGAACATGCAACCATTTCAAATTATTAAGGTTGCCACATCCTCTCCTTAGTGTAAGAAGAAACTTCCCAATTGAAGGTCACTGGACCTGGACAGAAAATAGGCAATTGCACCATGCATAGAAATATAGTATGAAAATATATTCATCTATTGGACTTGCAAACAAAAACTGAAGTCTGCTATTCCATATTGGGATCCAGATAATTACCTCATTGTGCAGGAAGGTACTGCAAAACATTTTCATCAGAAAGTAACAATTGCTTTTGTTCCCCATATTGCATTGAGTCGTAGATGTCAACTAATAATCTATTATGAATGGTTGCAAACCTGAAATTAGGAATAAATATTTTAATATCAGAATGCCCGCTATCACTATCAGTAAGTTCCAAAATGCTTGAATGAATCACACAATAGTATTGGGTAAGAAAGACCATAGATATTATAGCCTTCTATCATAATGAAGAAATAAACACGGATGGAAAATCAATAAAAAGATCCAAGGCCATAAAGAATTGTTGATCTATGGGCCTAGAATAAGCTTACTATGTAAAAAAGCATATAGAGATTAATAAATTAAGTCAATCAAAATGGAGATATAAAATAATGTACCTTTGGAGTGGCTAAAATCAAAGGTTGGTTGTGGACTTGTGGTAATATGCCAAGATTGTTAGGTTTACATATAAGCTTTGATGACGTTCATTAACATTGCCAATATAAGATTGTTCATAATAAACATCATCTATCTATTCTATACTATGTCATTCTGCCAATAAAATAGTGGGCAATGAATAAACCAATTAAATATGATTTTGATCTGTTGGAAAAGGAAGGACGTTGAGGAAACTACTACAGAGATACATAAACATGATATGTTACCATTAAACTGAACCTATAACTAATCTGATAAGCAATGTAATGACCACATATATCACCCTGGAGAAGACAACAAAAGGTCATATGTATGTCGAAATGGAAGCACAATGTCAACACATCAGTTAGCAAGTGGAAACTGCAAGAAGACGGTGCTATCTTTACTTATCACCCATGTGGAACTGAATGAGCAGGAAGCCTCATCGGGGGGCTAGCAATGTATATACCTGTATGCCATTAGGTGAAGGGCTCACAAGAGGATCAAGATCATGGATCCGGAGAAAGCGCTGGTGGAGGACGGGAGCGACCAGAACCTGCGTCACATTAACAGATGATGAAGTGAAAAAATAGGACTCAGTAAAGAGAGGAAATGGGGAGGGGATGGCACTGAGCGAGGTGCTCATGGAGAGGGAGAGGAGAGGAGGGTGTGGCGATGGCCTGCTGACTCCGTCCGGGCGATCGGATCCAGTGGAGGGGGAGGCCAAGGCCGATGAATCAAATGGTCGGAGAGGGTGAGGGAGGCAGTGGCGTGGCAGGGATGAAAGAGGAGAAAGGGCGGCAGCGGCGGCTCTCGTTCCTCTCTAGGGCACTGGATCCGCCGGCGAGGAGAATGGGGTCATCGGATCCGGTGGCCCCAGCCTCCTCATTGGGAGATCCGGCGGGAAAGAAGCGGCAATGGCGGCACGGCGAGATGGCTGGTTGAGGGAGTAGTGGCGGCGATGGCGGCACGGCGAGATGGCTGAGGGAGTGGAGGGGTTGAGGGAATGGAGGAGGAGGGAGTTGCGGCGGCGACGACGCACGCGAGGAAGGAGGAGGGCTAGGATGCGGCGCGATGGGAGGAGGAGGGAGAGGCGGCGCGCGTGGGGGAGGAGAGGACGGGTGGCTAGGGTTTGTACGAGTTGGGGAAATCCACACCGTCCGTTAGAGATCCAACGATCCCACGGGTGCGGAAGGGCCGCCACAGGGGGGAGCATGGACGGCCAAATCAACCCTATCTCAAGATCGGACGGTGGACATTGCGAGGACCAGCGCTTAATTAACCAAAAGTATGGGGTATATTTTGTAAAAGACGGCTGAGGTGGCACGCTAATCTTCAGCCATTCCCACGGCGTTTAAGTAAACTAATATGTTGCTTCAGAATGCTTACAATCAAAACTCAAACTAGCTTCAATCACTGCCTCAAACATGTAAAAACAATAAGATTTAATATATAAAAATGGTATCAGTATATTAACTTAGCATTACAAATACTACTCTCTAAATGAAAGTTTTGCTGTTGTGGACCACTTTTTGATAAAATGGATCTAAACACCAGTAGCAAAAAGTAGGCAAGTTGGCATTTGTCATTTGGGAGTCCATCGCAGCAAATTTGGACAAAAAAGCGTCGGGCCCCATGCATGAGAGAGGCAGCAGCAATTAATGGTAAAACTTTACCATTCATCTAAACACCAACTAGCAAAACTTTAATGCCAAATCTTTTGCCACCAAAACTTTTGCCAAAAAATTTTGCCACAACAAATTGATCTAAACATGCCCATAGTTGTTGAGAAACGTCCGAGGGTCTCCGGCTAGCTTCACAAATTGGTGTGCTAGTCGGTCTGGGTTCGAAGCCTTACATCTTCTATTTATTTGATATTAGATCATTCCATAATATTCCTTGTACATTAGAGATTGTATTGATGTGCTAACGCCATGTTTAGTTCCAAAGTTTTTCTTTAAACTTCCAACTTTTTCATCACATCAAAACTTTCCTATACACGCAAAGTTCTAACATTTCCGTCACATCATTCCAATTTCAACCAAACTTTCAATTTTAGTATGAACTAAACACAGCCTAAAACAAAGTAAATTAGAAAAGCCACTTTCAGTTATCTAAAACCATAAATCCCATTTTATTGGTGGCCTCTACTTTTTACTCCTAACAAATTATTGACGACCTCATCCTACACCATGCAGTATAACATATGCGACCAACACAAGTCCCACGTGTCATCTTACTACTGGATAAGCTCACTAGTGCCTAGTGATAGCTACAATACGTGGCATCTCGCCTAATCAGTCCACGTCATCACTCACCACCCCCATCACGCAACCCCACCCCAATCACTCACTCACCACCACCAACCAACCACAGTACTGCTCGTGCTCGTGTCGTGCACTGCGACGCCGACCAGTCAGTGCTCGCCGCCGCCGCCGGCGACGATGTCCTTGATCCGGAGCATGAGGTCGCGCGCCTCGGCGAACTCCGGGAAGATGTAGAAGGCGTGGATGGCGTCGGGGTAGTCCAGCACGCGCACCGCCTTCCCCTTCCCGCGGAGCGTCTCGCAGTAGCGGCGCTGCCAGTCCTGGAGCGGGTCGTAGCCGCCGATCACCACCGTGGCCGGAGGGAACGCCGGGGAGTCAATGCCGGCGGCGCCGGCGGGGGAGGCCGCGTGCGCGGCCTCGTGGGTGCGGTCGGCGCCGGGCGGGAGGAACGCGCGCCAGAGCCAGTCGGTGCGCGGGACGGAGACGATGGGCGCGCCGACGAGGCGGAGCTCGGCGGGGGTGCGCTCCTCGCCGCCGAAGAATGGCTGGATGGCGATGAGGCCGGCGAGGCGGAGGTTGGCGAAGGTGGTGGAGGCGAGGGCGTAGCGGCGGGCGACGTGGTGCGCGATGTTGGCGCCCGCGCTGTCCCCGGCGACGAAGCAGCGGGTGACGTCGAGTGGTGGAACGTCGCCGTCGTCGGCGGCGAGGGGGTGGTTGTTGGGGTCGTCGAGGAAGCGGAGCGCGGCGAGGCCGTCGTCGTAGGGCGTCGGGTAGCGGTGCTCCGGCGAGCGGCGGTAGTCGACGGACAGCACGGCCGCGCCGGCGTACCTGGCGATGCGTCGGCACGCGGCGTCGTAGGCGCGCGACGCCGCGGACAGGTACGCGAACCCGCCGCCGTGGAAGAACACCACGACGGGCAGCGGCTTCGTCGCGTCGCCGGTGCCGCCGTCTCCTCCGGAGGGGCAGGGGTAGAAGAGGCGGGCGCGGAGCGGGATCGCCGGGTCGACGACGACGTCGCGCGACGCGACGCCGTTGCGCGGCGCGGCGGAGGGCGGGACGTGCGGGTCGAGGAAGTTTAGGAGGCGGCGGTTGATGGTGCCGTCGGCGCGGCACGTGGCGTCGGTGAGGCACCCCGCGGCGAGGATGGAGAGGCGCGTCCGCCACGCCATCGGCGGCGCCACCCCCTTCTTCGTCGGCTTCTCCATGGCCGTGCCTCTCGATTCGGACAGCCGAGGTGAGCTGTGCTACTGAGCTAACTGAGGTAGTGAGAGGTTTGTCTGATGCGGAAGCGGAAGCGTGGGAGACTGGGATATTTATGGGAGGAGAGAGGTGGCTGACGGGTGGGACCATAGCCACGCTGCCGGCCGGGGAGCTCTACTGGCCTGTGACTGTGGTCGTTTGGTGGTTCTGAGAGTTAATTCCTCCCGCCCGCAAAACGAATTGATTTATTAGTACACAAATTACTATGAAGGTGCCCCGCTTATGAGTGGACACTTATATTATATTATTGAAAGATAAGTTTTTTTTTCAGAAATTTTGTCTTATAGGTTATAGGCAAACTAAAGTTTAGATAATATTATTTTATAATAATTTAAGGGTTCTATTTTTTTTTCTTAAGGTATCTTTAAAAACCATTCAGAAACTTTTGAGTAGGAGATGGATTAAGTACTTACGACTTTTGAATTATGTTTTTTCTCTCTAGTTAATAAGAAACTATTGCTAGTTAATTATCATACATTCCATCTATATACATACCGTGTAGTATGGCCGCAAATGAAAAATACGAGTGCAAGATACTCAAAATTCTTGTGATTAAATCGTCTCACGAAGGCGCATGATGTAGTAATAAAGGGAGGAAAGCATATGCATGGAAAAAAGAAGAAAGGGGAAAATGAAAAAAGGGAGGGGAAGCATACGTACCCACGTACGTAGGTGCATACCTATGCCGCGGGAGGAGAGGTGGGACCTCGTAGTATTTAGTTTGTTCTAATATCAATTTAATCTAACGGTTTATAATATTGGACGTACCGATTTAAGTGAAAATCAAGTAATAGATACTTTGATTTTTTTTTCTTAGAATTTATAATATTTGCCATAATTTATTAGAGCGCCACGTGGCAGCTTGAGAGTATTTTAAGGAATTTTAAAGGACTTAACACATGTAATTAGAATATTAACCGTGCAATATATATAGGGGACATATGTAAAATTTGTTCCAGCTTCGTTTATGTTTATATACATGTAGAGAGAAAATAATTTTGTGGCTAGCAAGCCATTAGATGTCTAATTAATAGCAATTAATTTTGACACCTATTTACAATTATTCAGAGTAGATCTTACATATTCATCTTACGACTTTGATGATTCGTTGATCACCAATTTACTGATTACCATGACTCGCATGAAAAAAAATATGTACAACTTAAGGTTTAGAGGTTTAGGATAGCTGAAATTGATGAACTATCTAATTTATGAGATAGCTATTTGAGGGTATAAACGAATGAATTGACTTCTAAAAAGTTAAAATGTTGTCTAAAGAAGACACCATTTAAAAACTTGGAAAGCGTGCGAACAAAAATCTAAAATATGAAATGGGAAAAAAAAGAGAGGGCCTTAAACTCCCTTTATCACCCTTGCCATCGTTAGAGTTCTATTTATATTCATCAATATTGCGCTCACATTTATAACATAATGATTCCTTTCACATGTACGAACAAATAGTACAAAATCCAAATACGACATAACACAAATACAATATAATTATTATGTAATAAACTCTCAGTTTCAGCTTAAACAGAACTAAGTGTTGGGAAAAACACAACCCATGGTGCTTAATTATTCCCTTGCTTCATCACACATTTAATTTTCTTCTCATGTTATTAAAAAAATTAATCATCTTCATATATGATTTGATATGTGGAAAAGCGGTAGCTAGCACTACAGCGGTTATGATCACCTTAGATGTTTCACACACTACGTTTTGTCACGCGTGCGAAAAGTAAAGGTGTAGACGTGCATTGTGCAGCGGGCAAAAAGAGAATTTCAGACGCTTTATTTATTAGAAAAAAATACATCCGATGATTATAATAATAGGTCCGCCGGTTACAATGTAAGTGTAAATTAGTTAGATTTTTAAATTGTTAATTTAATGGGTACATAATAAAATGGTGTAGTCCTTATTTTGATACAGTACATTGCTTGAGAATAATAGACCAATGTAATAAAAAATAGATCCGAGGATTTACATAATGGGGCCATCAGTTTAAGTGCACATATAAATTAGTTAATATAGATCTTAAATTGTTTATTTAATAGGTACACAATATAATTATGTAAAATTTATTTTAAAATAGTGCATTATTTGAAAATAATAGTACAATGTAAAGAGTACACCGGTTTAAGTTATATGATGGCAGATTTTTTGTTTATAAAATTATGATTATTTAGAAAAATATCCATTATATATATAGATGGAAAAAAAAGGAAAAAAGAAAAAGGGAAGGAAGTGCACGTATGTACATACGTACATATACCTGCCAATGTGTGGAAGGAGGATATGCAGGACCCCATGGTATTTAGTTTGTTTTAAGATCGATTTTATCTAACGGTGTATAATATTGGACCAATCAATTTAAGTGAAAATCAAGGGGTAAATGTTTTGTTTTTTTCTTAGAATTTCTAGGATTTTCTCTAATTTATTAGAGCGCCACGTGGTGGCTTGAGAGCGTTTGTAGGAAGTTTAAAGGACTTTTAGTATATAATAGATAATAGATTAATTAATTAACTAATTATTACTCCCCTCCGTTTTAGGTTATAAGATGTTTTAACTTTGATCAAAGTTAAATTGTTTCAAGTTTTATAAGATGTTTTAACTTTGATCAAAGTTAAATTGTTTCAAGTTTGACTAAATTTATAGACAAATATAGTGATATTCATAATACCAAATTAGTTTTATTAAAGTAATAACTAAATATATTTTTATAATAAATTTATCTTGGGGCGAAAATATTACTATTTTTTTCTATAAACTTGGTCACATTTAAAGTAGTTTGACTTTGACCAAAGTCAAAACATCTTATAACCTGAAACGGAGGGAGTAGGTAAATTTTTGAAGAAATAGATTAATACGATTTTATTTATAACTTTTCTATACGAAATTTTTCTGAAAAGTACACCATTTTGGCAGATTGAGAAACGTGCATACACAAAACAAGAGATAAGGCCTTGTTTAGATTATAACTATTTTCTTTCAATTTCCAACTTTTCCATCACATTGAACTTTCTACACACACAAACTTCCAACTTTTCCGTCAAATCATTCTAATTTTTTCAAACTTCCAATTTTAACGTGGAACTAAACACGGCCTAAGTAGGGAACAATTCTCACCGAACACAGCAGCTACTCCCTCCGTCCCATTTTAAACACAGTTATGACTTTCCGTATTCAATTTTGATCGTGTGTCGTATTTGAAACTTTTTATAATTAATAATTTTATTCTTATTTGATAAATAGTATTTTATACGTGATTTATGTTTTTAATTTAAAAATATTTTTAAATAAGATGGAACATTAAAATTGGACAATGGATAGGTGTCGGTCGGTGTGGCCGCCGGCGGCGGCGGCAAATGGTTAATTACAGCGAGGTGGCCATTAACTGCTATCTACTTCTACTGACCAGCTATATGGCGCATATGGGGAGAGTTAATGGGAGCAACTACTGGTGTGTGTAATGAGTTCGCAGATGCACGCACTGTGCGTCTACCTGCTGGCTGCGGGCGGCCGTGGGTGGGAGCGCGAGACCAGCGCAACGGCAGGCAGCACACGGGTTCCGCCTTCCGCGCGCGGCGCCGATGGTGTGATGCGCCAGCGACGCATGTGGGTCGCCTCCAGTACCGTCCGCTAACATGTGGGCCCTTCAAATGACTGATTCTGTAAATCTTTTGGGCAAGCTCCATCTCCACTTTCATCTCTCTTGGAGTTGGAGCTCAGCCAAATAGTTTCAGCTCCACCTAAAATAGAAGAGGAGTTGGGTGGAGCTATCTCACAGAGAGGTGTGGTTGGGTTTAGACAGCTCTACAACTCCACTACAGACCCAACTTGTAAAGCTAAATTTAGAAGTTGGAGCTCTATCAAACAGGCCATCTATCTAGCGGTTCCACGTATCCGTGATGCACATCAGATAACAGTGTTGTAGAGGGGATATCCGGATCGAAGCACAGCACATGATCATTCTATCATCTTGTAGTTTGGATCATTTAAATATAAGGTATAACCACCCCTAACCCAAACACTAAGAAAATAATTATTATCATCTTGTAGTTTGGATCATCCTAATAAATACGATGCATATATCCAATAGAATTAGATAACATGAGAGTAGAGGATTTTAAAAGTAATAATTTAATGGAGAATGAGTCATAGTTAATTACTTACATGTATGTATATTCTATAGTATTATGGAATATTAAGAAAAGTGGTTGTGTCATAATTATATTATCGAACGAATGGAGGACATCCTGCAATCTCTTCCTCCATCTACTTGTACGCATGCACTGATACACCGCGTGGTAGAGTTTGCTAGAATTATCTGGAGTCTGTAGTCTGTACAGGTTTAACAAGAAGTGAAGGATTTCACACCACTGGCAGAGAAACCATTTTTAGTCGGTCCACCAGATTTCACAATAGTTTCGATTGTATTAAAAATTAAGACTAAAAATATTTTTAGTCCCGGTTTGAAAGCTCTGAGGAATTTTTTGATCACTAAAGATCTATTTATAGTCTCGGTTGGTAACACCAACCGGAAAAAAAGATAGATATAAGCTTTACTCCCGGTTGATGTTACCAACCGGGACTAAAGATCTATTTTTAGTCCCGGTTGGTAACACCAACCGGGAAAAAAATCGATATAAGCGGGGTGGTTGCACGCGGATCGGATTAATACAATCTCCTCTCCTTTTTTTTTACTCATCTCCTCACAGAGTCACCCTTATCTCTTCCTCTCCCTCCTCCCTTCCTCTCCTCCTCTCCCTCCTCCCCACCTCCCTCTGCAACGGCAGGGCGCGGCGCGGCGAGCGGAGGGCCAGGCGAGGCGGCGTGGCGACGCGCGGGCGGCTGGCGGCCTCGCGGCGACGGCCGGGGACGCGGCGGGCGGCGCGCGGCGACTGCCGGCCGACGCGACGGCGCGGCGCACGGAGGGCCGGGCGAGGCGGCGCACCGGCGCTGGCGGCTGGCAGCGGAGCCGGGGATGCGGCAGGCGGCGCGCCGGCGGCCGCCGCGGCAGCAGGCCGTTCGTCTTCTCTCTTTTTTTTTTGTTGAGATTCTGTGATTCAGATCTGAGACGATTTGTGTGTGATGTGAATATGTGATGTATTTGTGATGAATTTTGTAAAAGTTGTGATGTAATTTTTTTAAGATTTTGTGATGTATTTAGAAATATTGATTTGAGAATTTGGAGACTATTCGGGGATGATTGATTTAGGATTTTGGGATAGGATAGAGTGAATCAATTAATTAAAAACAATGAAGAAAAGAATAGAATAAAGTAGCAATCGGAGCTAGCCAGCTAGCCTCTTTAGTCCCGATTACCTACTCTATCTTTAGTCCCGGTTGGTGCTAAAAATAGATTTTTACTTTCGGTTTTTTTACCCGGGACTAAAGATAACGATCTTTAGTCCCGGATTCATAGTCCCGGTTGGAAAACCGGGACTAAGGGGGGTTACGAACCGGGAGTAAAAACTCCTTCTCCACCAGTGCACGTTGGTTTTCTATAGCAAGGTCAATTAACCTCTTAATATTACTTTATCTTTTTCTTTGGTTTTTAACGATGAAAATAATAGTATTCCCTTTTCCCTCTTCCTTCGTGTTCTCTCCACATGAATAAAGGATATGATTTACCTTTTAACTCGCTACAACTGTAACGTTTTAGGGACCAGTAATCGTGCACGTGCAATGCACGCTACTCACAATATGTATTGCACAAAATTACATTCAAGATGTAAAAGACAAAAAACAATTAAGATTTTATTATTGCAATGATTAAGACTTTTACATTCAATTTGAGAAGCATACATCAGTATAGAAAACCTTCCTACCAGAAGTTAATTAACAGTTGAAGGCCTTACAAACTCTGAGATGAAATCTAATGGGTAAATCCGAGATGCAATCCAAATGGTAAATCTGAAATAAAAAAACAAAAGTTAAGCGGAGGACATTATCCATATCAAATCCATTGAAAAGTCATGCATGTGAAATCATGTGTAGCAACATTCTGGACTTTGGTGAACATATCTCGGGAAACTGACATTCATTTCTTTTTATTATGATTGAGCTGAGGGATCAATCAGTGACTCAGTGTACAGTAACAGTATACTTACTAAAAATGCAAAGGTCAGCTAATTAAAAAATATAACCAGAACATTCGGTCTGATAATTTTGGTCTGTTTTTGGACTCAATACTTTAACATTTTTTGGTAATTAGAATCTGGGTACGTGTACTGGCCACATGGAATATATTGCCGAGGGATCAAGCATACTGTAATATATTAGCTGCTTACCTCCTCATGAAATTTGCCATTGGCTTACAACAAATTCAGATATAAATGAAATGTGCATATTATTAGTGCTTTCAGAAAGTGGCATGAGAGCTCTTTTGATATTTGTGTAGAAATAGATAATATAGCAGAAGAGTATCAGTAGCCTAAACTTTTCAGAAATCCATTGCATGTGAAAGTTTGAGACCCTCTTTAGTTTAGATGGTAATAAAACTTTTAAGTCACTATCACATTGGATGTTTGGACACTAATTATAAATATTAAACATAGAAGATTAATAAAACCCATCCATAATCTTGGACTAATTCGCGAGACGAATCTATTGAGCCTAATTAATTCATGATTAGCATATGTGATGCTACAGTAAACATTATCTAATTATGGATTAATTAAGCTTAAAAAAATTGTCTCGCAAACTAGCTTTCATTTATGTAATTAGTTTTTGTAAATAGTCTATATTTAATACTCTAAATTAGTGTCTAAATACAGAGACTAAAATTAAGTCACTGATCCAAATACCACCTAAATCTCATAGCAAATGAGCAAATCCTGACAAGGATGTCAGATCAACATTCAAGATATACGCCTAATCGTGCAAGTGCAATGCATGTGCAACATTTATAGCAAACAACTGATGTCATGTTCGCATAATCTAGGACATGCTTATTTTCCATCATCAAGAAATACGTGGAGATTTTGATGTGCCATTGTTTTTATTGACAGAATAGTAGAAAAAATTCTACCATTGGAGATTGATTTATCGCAAGGAGCAGGATAATTTGGAGATGGCAAATCACAATAAAAAATAATTAATCTTACCAGCTGTAACCAACTGCATTTCCAGCCACTATAGGATCATCTCCAAACCTCCAGTTTTGATATTTTGGCTATGATAATAGGTCTCGAGCAAGCAAGCTGTTGTTGCAACGCTTTTAGCTTCAAGAGAAACGAAAATGGCGACAAACTAGATGCGTGCTAAAGAGGCCATCAATAACAAAAAAAAAATACTTAGCAAGATTTACAAAATGACCAGAGAGCCATAAGCTGACCTTATCCCTCCCAAGGTTGCGCTCCCGGGAACAAAAATGAGATAATAGCAAGTTTTACCAGCAAGATGCGTGAAATGAACAATAACTCATTGCACATATTTCAGTTGGCAACTAAACATTGAAGTTTCTAGGATAAAATTTAGGGGAAAACTTACTGCCACTCTGCCAGCATGCATATGGGAATTTGTCTGCGCAAGCTGCCAGATAGCGAGCCGTAGCTTCTAGTCAATTGCTTCTCATCTCTATGATCTTGCTGTATGCACCAAAACAAAGCAAAAATCGAGTCAAATCAAGAGCACATAGCATCAAAAGCCACAGCCACTCAAAACCTCAAACAGAAGGGATGAATTGATGCAAGGAATCAGGTGGTTTCAGGGATGTACTCACTCACTCCTGGAATTGGCACAAAATTCAGAAAATATATCACCGTTAGCGAGCAGGCCCATCTCTCAGATTAGTAGCAATCTCAGAGATCAAAGATTAAAAGAGAGATGGGATCTTGCCTTGACCAGCCGCGCGATTCCCTCCTCGTCCGGTCCGCATGCTCCATGGGTGTACCTCCTCACTACAGCCCCGCCCTTGGATATGGATATGGAGCTCACACCGTTCGCAAAACCTCCTCCTTGGCGCAGCAGCAATGGCCGCCTCCGTCTCCGCCGCTGGCAGCGCTAGGATGGCGACCTGGTGGAGAACAAGGACGGCGCCCTCCATGGGTAGCTTATCTCAATAGAGGAGGTGCAGTGGCGTCCATAACGGGAGGCGGCACCGTTACCAGAAGGTTGGCGCGGCGGCGGCATCATCGGGCGGATGCCACGGCCCGAAGATAGCGCGATGGCGTCATGGCGATGTCACCGCGCGTCCGCTGGGTGGGGATGGGGAATCACCGCTCAATCGCTGAATTACTGAGTTGACCAGACGCGTTGCAAGACACAATCCTCCACATCCGTGTTCAGCCGTTGGATGGATAGATCGAATGGCTGAGAAAGCAAAGTTGATTTCACCCGTAGTATTGGAAGGGGGCAACTCCTCCTTTTTATATTAGTATAAGATGAAATAGCTCAAGAGCTCCACCGTTTTTCCCCAGGTACAGTGTAAACCCAGACACTCATTATATACACATATCTCCTTGTCCAATGAGTATCCGAAAGCGTGTAGAATTAAATCTTACGAGTACTTTTTCTTTCAGTCATATTTATCGGACGAGTCCTAACAATCTAGGGCACATTATCTATTTTCTATCTGAGAACAGATAGAGAATGTTCGACCGATTTTTTCCCTCAAAACTTTTAAATTTTTTACCGCCAGATATTCTTTAAGATTCTTAGTAGAGATCAAAAGAAAAATATCGTGTGCACGCTAGTGGAGGATCAAAGCCATGACCACCCGCTTGCTTGGTAGCCACACTCTAGCCATGTAGATTGCCATGTATTCTTAGACCGTGTTTAGATTCAAACTTCCAACTTTTCCGTCACATTAAATGTTTGGACACATGCGTAGAGTATTAAATGTGGACGAAAAAAAATCAATTGCACAGTTTGCATGTAAATCGCGAGACGAATCTTTTGAGCCTAATTGCGCCATGATTTGACAATGTGGTGCTACAGTAAACATTTGTTAATGATGGATTAATTAAGCTTAATAGATTAGTCTCGCAATTTACAGGCGAAATCTGTAATTTGTTTTATTATTAGTCTATGTTTAATACTTTAAATGTGTGTCCGTATACTTAAAAAAATTGACATACGAACTAAACGCAGCCTTATTAGATATGGGCATATACACATTACAGTTACGTGTTATTTATAATTTAATTGCATTACAACTATATAATTATATTTGGAAGTTTGTTTTTTTAAGAAAATGTTGTATGGATACTCTCTTCCTATCTTGCTTAGGCATGGGTAAGGATTAACTAGCCCAGCTGAGCTAAGCTCGAAGCAGCAAGCGTTGTTGTTTTGTTTGTAGAGCAAATTAAGGGTGTCTTTGGTTGGAAAGCAGATTTAAAAGTCATAGCTGCTTCTACCCAAAAGTTGCTTTTGCTCTGGTACAAACTGAAAACACCTCCACCCCTGCTTTCAGCTGTTTTTGATCAAGTATTTACCTACCTGCTATTAGTTATGATGCATACCGGTTCGTTCTTTGCTTCCCCATCGCCTCTCACCGTATCGTTCCTCACGCGCTGCTTCGCCCTAGGGTTGGGGCACCGCCGCCCCTCCACCCGTCGCCAGCACTTTGGCCAGCGCACCGCCCTGACCGAGCAGCCCCAGCGAGCTCGGGCATCCCATGATGACGAGAGGAAGAAGATCCAATGTGTGTATGACATGTAGGGCCCGCTTATAAGCGGGACTAGTTATTTCAAAAGCCATAGTTGTTGAACCAAACGAGTTTTTCCAAAGGCCACAACCCATATTCTAGAGCTGCTTTTTAAAAAGCTACAGCCCACAGCTACTTTTTCAAAAGCCACAGCTCAACCAAACATACCCTAAACTAACCAGTGATGTTGATGCAAGCGCTCGCTTGCTTGCCAACACGAGACAGACGAATATTGGCTCTTAGTTCTCACCGCCGTGAGCAAGTTTTTGGTGGTGTTTGAATCTCCTGAAGATGAAGACGAACATAAAGATTAAGTGTTTTACGTAAAACGAGGTGGTAATAACGTGTGATTAATTGAGTTTTAATTATTACAAACTTGAAAAGGGATTAATTTGATATTTTAGAAAAACTTTCATATAAAAAGTTTTCGCACGAAACTGTATCTCATTTCGCAGTTTGAAAATTGTGCCACTTTTATCCAAAAGTTTATCCAACTTTTGTGTGTGGTTACCGATTATAGCCTAGATTGCTTAACAAAACATTTTTTTTTCTATATATCAAATGGCTCTCCTGGCTTTACTGCCCCTAAAAATATCACATATCCTCCTCTTAGAAATCCTCCTCTTAGAAGTAAGTATGAGTATTAGGGAATAGGGAATGGGGAGTAAATTTTCAACTAGTAGCTAGCTGGCTTAATTAGCTGGCATCCGGTGATCGTTTAGCCATATCTAGATTGTTGTATTTGCAAGACTTCCCATTAAAGGTCGTCCAACGTTACTTTTGTGGTTCCTTTTGGCGTTTAACCTTCCTTTTTTCTTTTCCCTACATTTTCTACTGAATACAGTGGACCCGATTTTTTTTTTTGACATATATACATAGCAGCTAGCTGTGAGATTGGCAGAAACGGAGGATTCGTGTGCTTGTTAGCTGTGAACAACGAGTGAGAATCGATTCATGCCAAGAGAATTGATGCAAACGCCGTGCCAACTCCAGTAAACGTAGTAATAACTGCTAGTAGCTGCCAACATATGTACATAACCACTTAACCTGTGTCTTTGCGTGGAAGTAACCACGTACTGCATGATCCCGTTGTATAAAAGTCATGCTAAATTGTTGAATCATTGTAGTAACGATGTATGAGATCATGGACTCTTTATAAGCGCTTTATAATGTGCAAGATTAAGCGTGTAAGTGTAGAAAAGAAAAGGTAATTGCAAGATTTCAGTTGACTTTAAGTAACCTTCAAACTCTGGATCATGGAGATGGAAAAAGAGAAGAGGTAGGGAGATGACGAGGACGATGATGACGGTAGGGGCGGAGCTATCGTACATGGGGTGCCAGGTACCTGATTTAGATAGGCCATCTATTTTTATCATATATGCATCCCCTCTTAATCTAAACTCAGATACATGTATCAGTTTAACTCGATCTAAAGTAAAGTAAAACAAGCAGGTAGCACCTCTCTATTTAGTTCTAGCTCTGCCCCTCATGGCGGCAATGACGATAGCCACCGTAGGTGGTGGCGCACCACCGACACATCATAATTACTAGTAGTAGTAGGAGAAGGCAAAGAAGTAAGCACTCCCAGAGTCTCTCATGCATAGAAAGAAAGAACATATCCTCCAAGTATCACTCTCTTCTTTTAGATGAAGAAGGAACACGGTAGCCTTCACTCCTTCAACCTTTGCACATGAGTTCCTACAAAACGTACCATTCAAATACAGAAATAAAGTAAACTCAGAGCATAGATAAAACCCACCCTAATAGCAACACACTTAAGGAAAAAAAAATAAATTTATGGCCAATCTGTTGCTACCATCATGACAACCATAGTACTCCTTCCGTTTCAAAATGTTTGACACCGTTGACTTTTTAGCACATGTTTGATCATTCGTCTTATTCAAAAAAATTTGTGAAATATGTAAAACTATATGTGTACATGAAAGTATATTTAACAATGAATCAAATGATATGAAAAGAATTAATAATTACTCAAATTTTTTGAATAAGACGAATAGTCAAACGCGTACTAAAAAGTTAACGGTGTCAAACATTTTGAAACGGAGGGAGTATGAAAAATAGACCCATTACAGTGACCAACTACAAAATCGTATTTTTAAAGAATTCGTCGAATATGGTAAAGTCATCCCAAAAGATTTGCTAGACAAGGAGAAAGGGTAACTTGGGACAACCTTAACTAACGGTTAGTGAAAATTAACATGTTCTACAATTAATTAGGGAGTAAATATTAGGAGAAGGGTTGCATTAGTGATTATTTTATAGCCAGCATTTTAATGAGAATCATTCACATGGTCTGATAATATTGATGAAAATAAATTGTGCATGATTTAGTTAACACAAAATAAAGGTAATTATATCCACTTTGTAATTTACTAGTGAAAGTGCATCTAACACTCTAAGTAGATTTTGGTTGATTAATAATGAAACGGTTAAGGGACTAACAAGTTTATCAAGGTGTGTGCAGATAATTAGTTCTAGGATGCTTAACTTTGCATGAAGACTCTCACAAATAGAATGGAAAAACAGAGCAAGGATTCAAAGATGAATTTATATTTATTTTATCTTTTGCTCTTGATTCTAGGAAAATCGTACTATCTAGAGGATTCCAAATGGTTGCCTCAGTCAATCTTAAGGGCTATGATTTAATATTTTTAGAAGAGAGAAATATTTTCACAACACTTGCATGAACTCAGGTGTCAATGGCAAAGCCTGCCCCAAACTTCATGGTGTTTTGGTCTGAACTTCTGGGTGGCTATTTTCCAGCCAGGTGCTAAAGTGTTGGCTGGAAGTTCCCACCTTTTCAATTCAAATATGTGAGTAACGGCTACATTACGTCATGGGGTGAGGGATAAATTTCCCATACCTCTCACAGCTCCTTTGGATCCACTTTCATTTTTCCACTTTCCTTGCCTCTTCCATCTTGTTCTTGAGTTTCCACGGTGATTTGAGTGTGAATTTTGGGGTGGTGGTGAGGGTTGGTGTTTGTGAGATGGCTAGGAGGATCTAAGCACATGTGGATCATCGTCAAGTTGCTAGAGGGTAACCTCTTAGATGGTTAGGTGTCGCCCATGACATCCATCCTCAAGCCATGGATTGACACCGAGCAAGTTTGTAAAGGTGGACCCCACATCCGAAAGGAAAATAGGTAGTCCTATGTGGGCAGACCGGGTGGCGTGCAAGCAGTGGTAATTGTTGTTGAATGTGGGCTTTGCACGGCATGATTGGATGGGGTTCTACTATCCTAAAGCTCATCTTGGATTGGGAAGGAGTCCATCTATAAGTTCCCCACGCATTGAAGCTTTCCAAAACAAGGAATTTGAAGATGAAAAAGGAAAAGATTCAATTCGGATTCGGTTTGGGCCAGCCAGGACATAGCTGGACTAAAATGCTTGTTTCTCTCTCATCTGGAGTCTGTCTTGGATGTATGTGTACTTGTTGGAAAGATAAATTCATGGCACATGTGACGGACAGGGCCCATGACTCAAAATCCTTCTGGTCTCAACGCAAAGGCAGAAACAAAATGTTGGCAATTTTCCAGATTATGTTGTATTTGATTTCTAGTTAGTTTCTAACCTATGTAATGCCTATATATACCTTTGTAGATGGTCCAAGATGGTAGATCACATTTATTCTAATGAAAACTGCAACATGGTTTCTCTTGTTCTTCTCCTAGGTTTTGTTCCGCCATCGCCAAACTAGAGAGGAATTGGGAGTTTGCCATAGATAGTTTTGCTTTCCCTTGCAAGGAATTATTGGGCTAATGTGTCCACTTTTGGTTAAAAAAAAGATCGAGCACCGAGAAACCAGTTGGTTAAAAAGAGTAGTAGGATCATGTGCTTTTTATTCAATCCAAGTAGTAGGCCATTCTCAATCGCATGACCTTTCAAATAGTTAATAGCCCATCCTAACTTAATATCATATTGCAAAGTACGAGTAACTAATTGAAAAAACACACATATTCATCCAATTTGAAAGTGATAAAACCATGGGCAGATCCACCGCCCATCAACCTTGAGTAATCGTCCTGGGCTCGTCAGCTGGACGATAGAATTTGAATGTTTTTCGATGAATTGGTCACAAATTTCTCATAGCAAACACTCGATATAACAAGATTTGTCTAGGTTCAAAATTTTTTCTGATATGTGATGGAATAAAATCAATCACTCGATGACAATTGACAGCTAGCATGATGTAGGATTAAAAAGAGAGGTAACTAATGACTCCTAGTCTTGATCGATGACAACTAGCATGATTAGGACTAATTAGTAAATACTATTATATTATTTTCATGTACAAGTGATGGTTATTTGTAGCTGGTACTAATAAGAATGATCCTACAGATTTAGATAGCATTAGTGAAACACAAATGTAGTCATTTAATGACTACAGCTACAACGTTCAAACCCTTCTTCTTTTAGATGAAGAAGGAACATGGTAGCCGAGTTTCTACAAAACCATTCAAGTACATGAATAAAATAACTCAGCGTAGATAAAACTCACCCTAATAGCAACACACCTAAGGAAAAAAAATTATGGACATCCAATCTGTTGCTACCATCACGACAACTATAGTATGAAAAATAAACCCATTATGGTGACCAACTACATATCGTAGTTATGAAGAATTTGTCGAATGCGGTAAAGTATCATTCCAAAAGATTTGCTGAACAACTTGAGACAACCTTAATTAATGGTTAGTGAAAATTAACATGTTCTAGAATTAATTAGGGAGTAAATATTAGGAGAAGGTTTGCATTAGTGATTATTTTATAGCTAGCATTTTAGTGATGATGATCATTCACATGGTCTGATAATACTGTTGAAAATAAAATCTGCATGATTTAGTTAAGGCAAAATAAAGGTAACTATATCCACTTTATAATTTATACTAGTGAAAGTGCATCTAATCCTCTAAGTGGATTTTGGTTGATTAATAATAAAACGGTTAAGGGACTAACAAATTTATCAAGATGTGTGTAGATAATTAGTTCCAGGATGCTTAACTTTGCATGGAACCTCTCTACAAATAGAATGAAAAAGCAGAGCAAGGACTCGGAGATGCATTTATATTTATTTTATCTTTGCTCTTGAGTCTAGGAAAATTGTACTATCAAGGGGATCCAAATGGTTGCCTGTGTCAATCTAAAGTGCTATGAGTTCACATTTTTAGAAGAGAGAAACATTTTCACAACACTTGCATGAACTGTAGTGTCAATGGTAAGATATGCCCAGAACTTCATGGCATTTTGGCTCGAACTTCCGGGTGACTATTATTCTAGCTAGGTGCTAAGTGTTGGCATGACCTTTCAAATAGTTAATAGCCCATCCTAACTTAATATCCCATTGCAAAGCACGAGTAACTAAAAGAAAAACACGCATATTTATCACATTTGAAAGTGATAAAAAACCATGGGCTTTGAAAGTGATAAAACCATGTGTGGATCCACCACCCATCAAACTTGAGCGATCACCCTGGGCTCGTCGACCTGACGATAGAAATTGAATGTTTTCCGATGAATTGGTCACAAATTTCTCATAGCAAACACTTGATATATATAGGACTAAAAAGGAAGTAACTAATGACACCTAGATAGATGAGAACTAGCATGATTTAGGACTAATTAGTAAATACTATTATATTATTTTGATGTATAAAGTGACAGTTGTTTGTAGCTGGTAATAATTTGGATGATCCTACAGATTTAGTGAAACATGAATGTAGTCAATTAATGACTATAGCTACAACATTCAAACCCTTCCTAAATTGAATCTTTTCAAATCCCACCAGATATTTCATCAAAATCAAAATTAAGAGACTAACAAGTTTATCAAGATGTGTGCACATAGTTAGTGCCAGTATGCTTAACTTTGAATGGAACCTCTCTACAAATAGAATGAAAAAGCAGAGCAAGGACTCGAAGATGCATTTATATTTATTTTATCTTTGCTCTTGAGTCTAAGAAAATCAAACTATCAAAGGGATCTAAATGGTTGCCTGTGTCAATCTGAAGTGCTATGAGTTCATATTTTTAGAAGAGAGAAATATTTTCACAACACTTGCATGAACTCAGGTGTCAATGGTAAGGTTTGCCCGGAACTTCATGGCATTTTGGCTCGAACTTCGGGCGACTATTTTTCTAGCCAGGTGTTAAGTGTTAGCATGACCTTTAAAATAGTTAATAGCCCATTCTAACTTAATATCCCATTGCAAAGCACGAGTAACTAAAAGAAAAACCCACATATTATCCCATTTGAAAGTGAGAAAAAACCACGGGCTTTGAAAGTGATAAAACCATGTGTGGATCCACCATCCATCAACCTTGAGCGGTCACTCTCATACGATAGAAATTGAATGTTTTCCGATGAATTGGTTATACATTTTTCATAGCAAACACTTGATATATATAAGACTAAAAAGGAAGTAACTAATGACACCTTAGATAGGTGAGAACTAGCATGATTTAGGACTAATTAGTAAATACTATTATATTATTTTGACGTATAAAATGACAGTTGTTTGTAGCTGGTACTAATTTGGATGATCCTACAGATTTAGTGAAACATAAATGTAGTCATTTAATGACTACAGCTACAACATTCAAACCATTCCTAAACAGAATCTTTTCAAATCCCACCAGATATTTCATCAAATCAAAATTAAATCAAACCGGCCAAAATTCAACCAAATCGCCTGCTTCCGCCCGTCCAAATTTTCAAATTCCAGATCGGTTAAAACCCAATAAATCAATCCATCCCCTTGCTAAGCCCCGTTCACACTCCACACCCCATCCAACCCCCACCACCATGTCTCCCAAGAAGGACGCCGGCCTCTCGCCGCCGGTGGCGGCGCCGCCGCCGCTGTCGCTCGCCGGCGTGCCCGTGCTGACGGGGAGCCTACGCCCCGCGGAGTGCGCCGACCTGCTCGGCCTGGTCGCCGGCGTGAAGCGCCCGCTCGAGGACGTCGTGGCGGACTTCCTCGCCCGCATCCAGCCCGAGCGCCGCCTCCGCTTCGGCGCCGCCATAAACTTCGTCCTCAAGGTAACCCGCCCCTCCCTGGATTGGATTCCCCCCCTCGCTCCCGCCCGCCCGCGTCGTCTGCTTGATGCCTCCTGGTTCGAGGCGAGCGCCCGCTCGGCTTAGGCCCCCCCCCCCCTCCGCGTGGTGGTGGGGCGCTTAGGTTTTCGAGGGGTTCTTGGGGACGTGTTGGTAGGTGGGCTGGTTTGGAGCGCGGGTGGATTCAGGAATGGATAGATTCTGAATCAATCGCTTTTGTTGGTAGGGGAATTTTAAGGTTTTTGCTGGGTTCTAGTGGTGCGTGGATAGCGATGTTTAGCGGATAATTTCTGCTTGTAGTGTTGCTCTATAGTCTATGTGCGATCTCCTATTTCGAGAAAGATTGAGTTTTTGATTGGGGACTGGTTGTTTCCATTTCTTGACAACCAGCTAAGCTTTCTAATGGTGGGTTTTGTATTTTCAGTGGAACAGTAGATATGTTGGTTGCTTGATGAGGTTTTTAGTGTTGCACAGCTTGATTACCTGTCTATTTTATCTTTTGAGGTGCAGTTGCAAGCCCAATCGACTGCTGTCTTGCTAATTTTTGCGTTTTCCTTAGTCACGCGATAGGTTGCGGTCAAAATTGGTGACGGTCTATGTGTTGAAATGGATTTTGTTAGTGGGTAAATTTGTACAGCATGTGTTCTTCTGTTGCTCAGGCCACTGTTGTTACAGGGCAAATAATTGCTGCTAGCTGCATTGTTTTTTTTACTGTTTTAACTGTCTTGAGTCCATATGAGTTTTGTGTTCTGACTTTAGGCTTTGAAGCGATTAGCAGATTTGTTATGTTCTGTGTAGAAACTAATATTGTTATTTGATTTAACAAGAGCGTAGTGTTCTACATGTTTTAGCTGGGCATGAGTAAGGGGTCCAAGTTATCAGTGTGTTGTTTGATGAGATTTGCGTCGTTGAAATGAATTTGCAAACCATTATACTTGAGGTTTAAAATCAATGATCTCTTTCCCCCTTTATCTTTTTCCATTTCTTAAATTCTAAAAGAAATTCTTTACATGGGTGAGTCTTTCTGTACACTATCCACAATGGATGAAACCTCCTGGAATTATGCTAACATCTCATTCTTCCAACCTACCATACGAAATTCTTCCCTTTTTGCCCATATGCTCTGCCTCTTATGCCTTACGTTGCCCCTTCTACCCAACCTGTCAAATTGTTTTAGAATGTACTAGCTATTAGCTTTTCAAGGTTTTAGTCACTTGGAATAAATTAAGCAGTGAATAATATGATTAAAAAGTCACACAGTTACCACTTTTAGCTCATGGTAGAAATCAATGTTTCTTCTAGTGATCATAATTTTTGTGCCGCTGTTGTTTTAATGGAATATAATTGAATATGTGGATGGTTGCTTCCTTGACTGCTTATGGGCGTTGCTACTGTTCGTGCTACATTACTAACGCCCACAACATTGACATATTTGCTTCCTTTTTTTATTGTTGTTCAGTGTCAGAAGGACTCAACATCATCGTCTGTTTTCATTTCCCCTTTAGGGAATGGTACTAGTAGTTGTAGGGGGTCTGTCTTCAATGCATTTAGTTTTCACATCTTCTATTGGAGTTGACATGATATGTTATAGATGATTTGTTGGATTTGGTTGTTTCTGCACATCACTAGTTTTTTCCTGAGTGATGATAGCCGCGTAAATTGTTATGTTGATGGTGATATATATGATTTTTGTGTGATGTTATTATTGATATGATTTGAGAAAAACTTATTCACCTCCATATCAAAATCTAAGTCATTGTGGGATCTGTGTGGTTAATTATTTCTGACATTTCTCTCAGAAACATTTTGAAAGTCTGAGCACTGATATATTCAATTGTACATAGATGGAGTAACAAAAATAATTCCATTGGATCTATCTTGCAAAATACTTCTGTAATGTGTGATTATTATTTCACTTATACAAAGGTAGAGCAATCAATGGGTTGATTTGCAGGCCTGTTATCCTGTTTTGATCATTTTTCTTGAAATTATACCCTTCTTTTCTAAATTATATTTTCTTAATGCACAATCCATGGAAACTCTGCAAATCTGCACATTTTTTTCTCCCTCTGTAAGTAGATGGTAGTGAAATGCTTGGCTTAGACTTACATACTGCAATGTGCTGTCAAAAGGTTTAGATGTTTTTGTACTGTTTACATAGCTCTATGGATTCTTGATGGTAGACTCCCATCTTTCAAAAGGTTTTGATGTTTAGAGAATGATATACCGAAAGGAAAGAGTTTTTCTCCAATTATTCTTCTGTTAAGGTCCTTTTTGTCTATTCCTTGTAAATACAGGACGGTTTTTGGCAGCTTGTTTTTCATTTCATTTAATGTGCCTCCTGTTTCTGGGATTTCTTCTCTAGGTATAGGAGAATGAAAATAACACTTTGACTTTATACTACTTTGTTTTTTTCAGGACAAGATGATGCTTCGACCAGCTGAGCGTTTAGTTGCATTCACAATTCTTCATCAAGGTTATTCCTCACAGTTGGAAAATCCCTTTGTTCCTCTAATAATACATGTAAGTTGCAACCTTTTTTCTTTTTCTTTTTTTGGGGGCATAAATATTTTACAGGCTTCATTAATGTGTGCTGATAGTCTGAATTGGTCATGTTTATCCTTTTAATTTCATCGAATAAACTAATTTATTGTAAAAACATATTTGTCAAAAGGATAAATGTACCAGAAATTGTGATTTCTGTCTGCACTATTTTATTTTTGTTGTCAATTTCTCTCAAATAGTTCCACTTGCCTGTCCAATTTCTATGTTTGAGTTCCATGTCACAATTGAACCAGGGCACATTCCTTTCACTTCCAAGGTTTATCAACTACTATTAGGTGCATTGATCTTAGTGCCTCAAGAAAGTAATATTAGAAAAGGTGAAACTTCATGAAAACGCCTGGTTTAGTGCCATAATAACACAAAACACTGGGTTTTGTTTTCTTTTCACACAATACAATATGCACTATGCAGAACCTTGTGTGACAGTGTGGTTTTAATAATAGTGACATTGGGGAGATCTTGAGGGCCATCATGCCATTGTACTTTGCTGCTGAAGTGCTGAGATTGGTTTACGCTACCTATAGCTCTGTTGAGGTGTCTGCCTGAGCTCTAGTCTGGACAATACTGTTATATCCTATGTTCATCATTCTGTTATGACTTATAACACTTAGAGCCACATTGGGTCTCCGACATAGTTGGAAGTGGCCTCATTCCGTTGCGAAGTTCTGAGGCATGACCAAGCATAGGTGTTTGATGGAGTGAGCTGCAACCCTGTACAGAGGTGGTATATGCGGAAATTGGGAATAAGAGGCAAGGAGGTGAACCATGTGAAAGAAAAGATTTTTGGATAAAGATGAAATCTATTAGAAGATAATATATATTTTTGGAGCCTTGGAGGAGTGTTTTTCTGCTTTTTTAATACAGGCTTTTCTCAGAGCTTAGGTGGGCCAGTAGGATGGACGGTCAGTACCAATTCCTTTTAAATAGTAAATAGAATGTAGAATCCATCAGGTGAGATTCAATTTAAATTATGAAAGCACCAGGTCCTAATTTTCAAAGCTAAAAGATGGGATTAATTAGGCGCTTACTATGAGTATTTAATATATTTTCCCTGCATCTCACGCTTTTTGCTTCATGAGCACACTCAAAAAATTGGTTGGTGTTGATACATCATGGAAGCCATGCCAGGAGCAGAACATGGACTATGACGTAGACATTACATCAAATCCTGTAACCTACACATACATGTTAATTTCCACACATACATGTTAATTTCCACTGCTTATATGTCACTCTGCTTTTCTACTTGTTCTCCCAGCGTACATACAATTGTTAGTTTAAAGTTGCTTCCTATTTTCAGAAGTGTGTAACCTTGTGTTCTGACTTCCGAGTCCTTGATCACCATACTGTCTTATTTTTTTCGTTGGTTGTTTGATTGCTGTTGAAAGGTTTGTATTTTCACGCTTAGAAGATGGTTTGCAGTTAGTACATGACTACATGCATACCTTCCTCTCCATCTATCCTGCTACGAAATTTGTCATCTTATGTGATGTGGATGGTGGGTTCTTTGCAACTTTTGCACCAGCATGGTGATGCTGTTCCGTAGTGTCTCAAGTTTAGAGGGTCGACAGTCAACACAGTGTTACGCAAATTGATCAGCAATATTTTTGGCAATTAAAGAAATCGATCATCTTATTCCTGGCTGCCATCAGAATGATTGGGTTTTTGCCTCAGCATGAACCAATTAAGTGGTGTTGTTATTATTATTTATCACAGCAGCAGTATGATTCTATCCTTTTCAGAGTCTGTTTTTTTAAATAGTGCACTATTTCTCGGTAATGCTTTGTGACTTCCGCTACCTGTTTTTTTAAATTTTTTGACAGGCTGCTTGTGATGAAACCTCTGATAAACCAGAACAGTTGTTTCTCCAACTTCTGTTAAATTCAACTAATGGGGACAACGATAGGGAGGTATTTTATCGCTCTATGATTTCTTGTTTAACTATATGATTTATATAGGCAAAATTGGTTATATGATTTTGCCATTTATATATAAATTTCACATGCATGGAGGTTACTGAGCCCTGAGGTATGGAGTACCCAGTTTTTTTTCTGGTCTTATGCCTTCATGGAGCATGTTACGAGGTGGAATCAACAATTTGTAAAACAGGAATTGGTTGATGCATGATAAATGATAAATTGCTGTATATTAGCAAGTTTGAGTACCATGATCAGTTCTCCAGGGATCTAATACATTACGGTTCTTTGCAACCATTTCATCACAAATAGTAATTCTCACCATGTGATGCTAGGATTGAAACCCTATTAAAACAAAACTGTCCCTCCTATGATCATAATACTATCTTGTTTAGAAGTCTCATGGTATTCTTTTTAAGGTCATAGTTTTTCCTGTCACTTTACTTGTATTGATCAACAGACATTAACTCCACCTTTACTATGTATGTGAGCACATGCTCTGTTTGTATATTTGTTATGGAGATCATTTGGCATCGATATGATGATTATTTTGTGTTCAGATTCTGAAGCATTCTGCTGCAGATTACTTGGAGGAATCTGCTTATGCATCTCAGGTTAGATGATTGTTCTGTCATATAATTATGAAATTGACTGGACACTTTCTCTAGGATGTAGGATCTTATTTGTTTCGAGTGGTGTCTATTATGTAGGTCTTGCTCACCAGAGAGCAGCTTGAAAGACAATATACCTGCAATGAGGTGCAACCCCAGCCTAGCACTGGTAGTTTCAGAGAAGCTACTGTTAGAAGTGTTATTCCTGATCCAGATATTTCTCAAAGCTGCACTGATTCATCAGAGTACGTATACTCCAACTTTGTTCTTGGAATGTGATGATGGATATCCATAGGGGTGGTTCATTTTTCTCTCTTGGTCATTGTTAATTAAGTTTGCTCATTATTTCTATAGGATATCAATAACCAAATCAAATAGAGATAATTTGGTCACTTGTTTACTTCAACAAACATCACTTGATGGAATTGGTCCTCAGTGGATACGGCCTCCTCCTCCAAGACTTGAAATACTTGATGGAGAGGTAAGGTTGTTGGCTAAAAGTTTTTGTTTAGTAGTACCTTTATTTCTGAATCTAAGGTGTACTTCTTGATGAATGGGCAGTTGCAGTGGCTGAACCTAGACAACAACCACGAGCTATTGTGGGACAGTAGTATGTGTGCTGATACTAGTCGAGGTGCTGCGATCCGAGATTTAGTTGGAAAAGCTTGTAAAGGACCACTTTCACCTGCCCAACAGGAGGTTCTATTCTATTCTTTTTCTCAAATGAATATCTTGATATTGAGTTTTTAATTAAGCTGATGATTTAAATGATCAGTAGCATTATTCTGAAGGTAGATAATTTTCTGAATGAATTTTATCACCTTCCTCACCTCTTTTTTTGAAGTCATACCACTATTCTTTTCAAAATTCATTGTTAGGATTCCCTATTTTTGGCAAGTTTTCAATGTTTTTTGCACTGTGCATTGTTTATGCTGTTTCAGTTATATGTTTGCTCCCTCAGTTTTGCTAGATAGCTTATAGGCAATTGCATGTAAGATTATCAGTCCGAGCTATTTATTTTTGTTCAAGGGAGCCCTCATATGTTGTTTTAGGATCTCATAGGCTCAACCTCTGAAGTATCCTATTTTTTCCACCAAGTCCTGCTAGTGCTGCACTGAATCTATACTGGTTGATAGGAAGCATGGGTGTGTGCTCATGTTAGGCTCAACCTCATCGTTTGCCACTAGTTTGCCTCATTTTCTAAGCTAGGGTCTAAATGGTGATTTTCATGGTCCCCAAAAGGTTTTAGCATAACAATACGCTGATTTAACATATGCTGGAGTAGTGGAGGTTAGCGTTGGACCTCCAAAATTGCAATAGGCTGTGATTTGAAATGCTGTTCTAGATATGCATGCTTATGCATTAAATGGGACCGTAGGAGAGCATTGTGTGTGGCCTTGAAGCCTCAATTATTTGTAGCCTATGGGGCCACATGCGTATGCACACATGTGTGTTGTAACTGAACACCAACTGAATTTCACTGTGAACTTAAAACTATTATAGGCACATAGAAGCCCACCACCACATACGTACCTCACATCTGCATTACTTCGTTCAAATCTTCCTCATCATTAAGTAAGATGTGGAGATACTACAAAAAAAATGTGGATTGGGTGATGACTCCAATATAGGGCAATTTGTATGTTGGGATGCCATTATTGGAGGCATAAAAGGAACTTAGGTGAACATGTTTTGGCACAGGAGTATTTACCAGAGATTGAATTTACTTTGTTAATCTCATATCAATATATATTTTGTTATAGTTTAATATTTGATTGGTTACTTGAGTTGGAGTCGGTTTTGGTTTGAATCCATGTTGGAGAGAGCTAGGCTATTTAAACCTTTATTGATGATTGGCTTGGCAATCAGAAATAATACAATCTATTCTCTCATCTCTATTTTCTGATCCCTTATCCTGAGTTGGAGTTGGTGTGGTTGAGTCTATGTCAGAGAGAATTAGGCTATTGAAGCCTTTAGTGATGATCAGTTTGGCATTCTAATAATACAATCTATTCTCTCTTCTCTATTTTCTCTTTCCACTAACTTTGTTAGGGCATTTTGGTTGTGGTAACCGAACAACTTGCTAGTAGAGCTTCATAGAAACTTCAGGCATGGAAGATTACTTTAAGGACATGCTATCTTCGCAACTGAAATTTTTACCACAAGATTGAAAGTTTTCTTGGTGACATTGAGCAAGGAATTCAACAGGCTTCATGACAATTTCCACGTGATGCAAGCATCGGTTGTGGCCTAGGTGAAGGCCAAAGGAGTCTTGGGGGTGACTTGGTGTCAGCATTGGTAGGGCTGCTGAAGGCCGCACAAAAGTTGCTAGATGCCAGCATCTTTGTGCCCCTTTGCTTACAACGGCTTGATTCTAGGTAGATTGGATGGAGGACCATAGTCAATAGTCTAATGAAGTCAATTGATGAAGTTTGTGCCTCAATAAATTGGAAATTCCCATCTATGGTGGTGAGGATAAGCTCTAGTGGCTCAAGACCTACGGGCAATTGTCTCAAGGATGGTGCATGGCAGACATAGTCTAATACGCTTGCTACATCTCCTTGGTGGTTTTCTTTGAGGTATCTGGGGTCCCATTAGAGCACGACCATCACGCTCAAGAGCAAAGTCATGGGAAGGTTATTGGGTGGAGTTGCCAAGAAGAAAAGGACATTGCAACGATCTTTTGCTGCTCGAGTGCCTCGCTTGTGCGATTGGAGGGCAGATGTGTAAAGGGGATTGTGCGCGTCAAGGTAGCAAACGACGCCACACCGGCGTTGGTGATATCATGTGGGTCGGGGAGGGAAGAGCCGGGAGATGACATGGCGTGATTTGGATTCGGAACAACCTCTCATGAAAGGGGATGGTTGGAGCCAAGTATGACCCAATGGGTTAGGCCTCCTTTGCTTTCCTTTGTTTCAATGTTGACCCATTTATCCACCGGAGCCATATTTGTGGGTTGGGCCAATGTATCCAGTGGGTTGCTTTAGACCACAACCACCCTTAGCAATCTCTGTGGCGACCATGGGGGTGGATTGCTAGAGTCTACCTCACTATTAGGAGGCACATAGGACAGTTTGAATGTAGGAGCAATGGGCTAGGATACATAGCTCTAGGGCAGCGATTCAGCAATAAGTATAGGGTTGACGCTGCGATTTGCATGTTGGTAGAGAGCTCGGTGGCAATCCTCTTTAATATCAAGCCATCAGTACCACTTGGCGACCCCTTGAATATGCCATGCAATATAATGATTTATAAGTACTACCATAAAATGGAAATGTTATGTAAGAGTGGTAGGAGGGCTGCTTCACATCCAAATATAGCAATGAAATTATTATGAAACTATGTTGATAGTGAAGTTATGATGTATGGGTGCTATATGCTTGTAACAATATAGAAAACAAGTCACTCGTACTAGTCTAAATCGACATATGGAGCACTTTAACATTTGTCGTGCTACTTTTTTAGCACCAATCCTTGGTGGTTTTAGTATATGCTTTATAGTCCATGTGTATATGTAGTCAATTATGGGAAATACCTTAGTGCTCCATCATTCTTATTGTTGTCAAATGCTAATGTTTAGCATATATTCCATAACAGAAATCTATAGATCCGCCAATTAAGCCGTTCTCTCGGTACTCTGGCAAGACCTACTTCAGGCGAAGACGGAAAGGTGGTGAAAAGCCTGCCCAACCATAGGGCAATGGCCATCATGCTATGTGGAAATGTTCCATTCTGAATTTACGCAATGACTTGATACTATGTTCACAAATCTCGTACTCTATTTGGTAAAATTAGCAAAATTGTTTGGCTCTTAGCAATAGGAGACCTGGAAATTCTTTAGGGGACAAAAAGTTTGTTTACCAAATTGTTATATTCTCTCTTTGTTGTCTAGTCTTCTTAAGCCATGTTGGTAGAACAAAGGACATCCTCCATTGATGTCCATAACACTTGCTTTAATTGCGATTATGGTCACAACCATTGTTTGCCTTTTTGGATTCTTGTATGCATTGTTTGAGTTCGATGACTGCTTTTGAAGCAATATGTGCTACCTTTGTAACTTAGTCATGTTTTCATCATTCAATATTTAACTTTAGGTGTGCTTGGTTCGTAGGATGGGGGAGCTCAGTTTTTTTAGGCTGTTTGGTTCAAGGTTAGGTGTAGGGGTGGGTAATGTGCTAGCTCGGCTCATTACCTTAATGGGCCAACTTGACTCGTTAATCTTAAATGAGCTCAAAGCTTAGCTCGGCTCCGCTCGTGAGTAGGCTCTTTAAGCTCGTTAGGCTTGTTAACGAGCTCCATCTGATTTATATCACTTTGACAATTTAATAATTTACCAATTTATTGTGTAGGAACATTAAACACTAACTAAAAAAGAACTCGTCAAATACAAATAGTTTGGATGTTATTAACAAACTAAGCACTAGCTAAGAAGCAAACAAGTACATGAAGATGTGATGATCTTTTGTACTAGCGAGCTAAACGGGGCCTCTCGTGAGCTATGACCTTCAAGCCTTTTTTCCACCACTTGTTAGGTGGGACGGATCTTCTCCCTAGAGGGCAATATTATCTCTAGATGCGGACAAGCTAGTGCCTGAAAATCGAGTGGACCAACTCATCCCACCATGTGACACGGCTCATTGTTGAATAGTATAGGAGAAGAGGTATACTGCATAACGTGGAAACTTTGTATTGAGCCTCAGGGGTCAATTTATATAGGTTACATGGATTGGGCCCTTGATGGAGGTGGTCGTGGACGCATCCACCAGGCAGGGACGGCGCGGGCTAGTCATCGGCGCGGGGGCTCGTTGTGTAGATATGACAAGCGCATAGGTGGGAGGTAGTGAACGTGCAGAGAGGAGATGGAGGTGGTGGAAGACGGTGCCGATGGCGATCCAGGCACGTGAGACAGGCTACCCGGCGCGATATGGACGAAGCTGTTGCTGCTGCTGACTGACGTAGACTATTGACGACGAACGGTGGTCGCGCAACCACCCAGGAGTTTGAATCGTCCGGGCGTGCGATGAACAGCGAAGACACAATGATGAAAACAAAAAAGGTTGACCGACCTCAGGAGATCGCTACTCCCGGGGGCAACAACGGCGGAAGCGTGAGAGGCGGCTGGTCGCCCGCTCTTATACTATGTTGAATAGTATAGGAGAAGAGGTATACTGCATAACGTGGATACTTTGTATTGAGCCTTAGGGGTCGGTATATATAGGTTACATGGATTGGATCTTAAGTAACCTCAGAGAGATAGAGATGGAAACTAATCCTATCCTACCGTAAGAAACCGGATACAATACGATCCTATCCATATACTCTACACTCATTCCCAATTCCGACAATTGGGTCCACGTGTTAGATGCTTGATCCCATCATCCATGTATCTTGAACCCAACAAAAACTATGACGACCCTATCCCCTCAATCAAACAGTACACGGGACCATTCCACCCCATATTATACCTAAATCAAACGCGTGCTTGGATTATACCTTATGTGGTCCTTCATTTTCAGTACCCTAAACATAAAGCTCCGTTTAGTAAGGAATTGTTTAAAACTAATTTATTTATACATTTGGTTGTAATAGTTAATTGTTAGAAGCCACATCACTCTTTGGCATATACTCCATGTTACTAGATTTCTTGATGTAAAACATCACTACTTACTGGATTTCTCAACGTAGCACATCACTCTTTGGCAACCACTTCCACAACTTGGCAACCAAAAAAAAAAAATCCACAACTTGGGATTAAAAATTGATCAGTAATAAAGACAATAATAATTGGTTAATGGGACGACTACTACACTACTACCCTCAATTGTATTACATTCACCTCTTTAGGATTTTGGAATGCGGGATTGGCATAGGTTTTTTTTTTTAGGATTTAGTTTCTAAGGATTTTCGCCCCTATAAACCCCTTTAGTTGATAGGCGAGAGGTCCAACCTCTTGAAAACTTTCCTTTGTTTAGTTTTCTCTTGTAGTATTAACAGAACGCTTCTCTTTTCCTCTGTTTTCCATTCATGGAGGATTAGAGTAACTAATATGCCATTTCAGTTCCTACGTTTTTCCTATCCTATGTTCCAAAGGGTGTCTTGGTATGGTTTATTCTCATGCCTACATATCCTAACAAATTATACAAGTGTCATTGTAGACACTTTAAATTCAATGGCATATTGAAGTTAACATTGATAGTTTATAGCCAACTGATAAGATGCCATCCTAATCTTGATCCCATGGTTTTGAGGTACTATAGTGCCATGATTGATTATTCCTAGAATTATTGTTGTACTAGCACAATGAAATGATTCTTCTTAAGACCATGATCCTGATAATGAGATTCCCACCACATCTCAAAAGCCAAATGTCACATGATTCTCCATGAGGGAAGGATAGTTATTGTGTTTGGGTGGGGGCCGTGGTTTAGGAGTATAGGGAGAACGAGTCATGTGGCAATATAACTGAGTAAGGCTAGCTCAAATTTAAAATCATATGTTTATCGAAGCATAAAATTTAACATCAAATTAGATCAAGGTACCTATGAGTGTAGTTTTAGTACCATCAGGAGCCAGAAAGTCAAATAACTAAGGGAAATAATACAAATCCCACCATCACCATCCAACAAACACAACAGGAGGAATAATATTTTCATGTATTCTTCACCTTCACAATCATTTTGATGTGTTCAAACCCGTAGCATCTAGCCATTATGCCACCCGTATAAGTCCATTCCCCACATTCTTGTTAATTTATTGCAAATCACGATACATTGCACCCATGAGCATGAGGTATCCAGTGGGCACTTGGTATGGTCCTTTCCGCTTCTTGCTAATTGGTAGCCTCCCTCTTTCTTTAGTGCACAATGGTCATCGATGGTAGCAACTCTAGTGGGTCCCATGTGTTTTGTGGGATGTGTATATGTTTATGTGGTAGCTAACGTGTCATGGTTTGAAAAGATTAGTTTGTCGGAACTTTGTACAAATCTATATTTTCTGTGCAACATAATCTATGTCGATTGCGTGATAGAAGAAAAGAAGATCAATAAAGGGTGGAAAGGGAATGGATATATGCGATTTTCTTATCCACATCGTAGAATATTCAAAGTCAGTGCAGAAAATGGAATGCTTGTTTGGAAGAAGCACTTGGTTTTGAGCTCTTGGAAAATGGTAGTCTAACATGCCAATTTAATTTTGGATGGTTTGGTCAGAATTAAGTGTGACGATGTTCTACATCATACAATGAGAATAACCAAATTAGTTTTTACATATATATATTATATTTACAAGCTAACAAGCTATCGTACCGTGTAGCTAATAAGTTGTCTCTCGGCCCAATACCCATAACACTAACACAAGTTAATTGGAAAATATTGTGGCATGTTACCGACTTCGAATGGAAGTTCTATTGGCACCTCAAAGACTAAAATCGGACGCTAACTGCTCTAACTTTGCAATAACATTGTTATATCCCCGCTAACTTTGCAATAACGGAGCTGTTTTGGCCAATTAGGATGACATGTTGGCACTTTGTCAATCTTAAGTGCTCGAGATTAACCAAGTAGGAGAAAGTTAAGTTAGAAATATTGTTCCTTTTCTAGAGATCTGATACTTTATGTTATACTAGCGTAATTTTTAGAATCATGGGAATTGGGTTTCGAAGATGCAAAAAAGAAAATATTAATAATACGGAATTGCTAAATTTTTGTCGCAAGAAAAATGGGTAGATAACTTGCGAATTTTAGACCCTCGGATAGGCTTTAAGATTCGTGCTCGTGCTGGCAGAGGAAAAGAAAAATTTTGTGTGAACACAACGCTGCTGGGAGTTCGAACCCACGATCTGTTGGTCGAACAACAGGCACACAACCATTGAGATAGCCGAGCTTTTTATAACATATATACTTAAGTTACATACTCCATCCGTCCCATAATATAAGGGATTTGGGGTGGACACATCCTAGTACAATGTCCAGATTCATTGTACTAGGACGTGTCACATCCACCCCAAATCCCTTATATTATGGGACGGAGGGAGTATAAGTTACATTGGGGTTACACCCAAGTTACAATGTAAGTACAATGCAATTATACTATAGCTATATTTGAAAGTTTTTCATCCAAAAAACTATTGAATGTTGTATAGCTATTCCCTTAATAATAACTTCGTTGTGAAGGAAAAACTAACTTAACACAACAAGGAAAGCCTATCAGAAGAAAAGGAAAATGTGGCTGCTGCCTCTGGAAATATGTAAATATGCAAAAACTTACTCATGTGAACTTAAACATGTATTTATGGTAACAGTTCTAGCAGCCCAAATTAGTATTTTCGGGGCATGACATAATTATAGTGCTTTACGGTGGCCATGACCTGTGTTATGGTGGCCATGAGTGGTGTCTCAGGAAATATGTAATATGCAGAAAATTGCTCACGTGAACTTGGAACATATATTTATGGTAACAGTTCCAGCAGCCCAAATTAGTATTTTCTGGGCATGACGTAACTATAGTGCTTTACGGTGGCCATGACCTGTGCTATGGTGGCTATGAGTGGTTCCTTAGGAAATAAATGTAATATGTTGAAAATTACTCACATGAACTTTGAACATATATTTACGTTAACAGTTCTAGCAGCCCAAATTAGTATTTTCTGGGCATGACGTAACTATAGTGCTTTACAGTGACCATGACCTGTGCTATGCTATATAATGTGATCTTTTAATGCATCTCACATACCAAATCGTTGTATAACTATTTACAGCAAGTTCTGGTGGAATTGGCAAAGGACTGGAAGCTAGTTTATCATTGTGGGATGACACCACAGAAGCTCCCTGTATGTACTCTTCTGACAACATGTTGAATCCTTTCCATGATTGTCTTTATGGTCTAATAATTTCCTCGTTTCAGGACCTTGTGGAACATAATCCACTCGTTGCTGTTGAAGTCCTTTCAAAGTTAATCAACTCGCCTGACATGGATGCGTATGTAGATTAGCCTTGTCGTTTATTCTATTGTTTTCTTATTTAATTACTAATTTACTATGTTTCTCTACTCACAACGTCTTACTCACATGCCTTTTTCTTTGACAGTTACTTTGATATTCTTGTGCACATGGAAATGAGCCTACATTCAATGGAAGTTGTAAACAGGCTCACTACAGCAGTAGATCTACCACCAGGATTCATTCATGACTACATCTCAAACTGTATTCGATCATGTCAAAACATTAAGGTTTGTGAAAGTCTCTTTTCTTTACTAGACATTCAGAGGTGATCATCTTGGATGGTTTAGTGACATGACTCATATTATATGTTTATAACAAAGTCAAACCATAAAAAGAAATGCATTTTTTTTCTTTAAACACAAAAGTATTTGAGTGGGTTGGATACATTGGTCTTCTGATTTTCTATATGGTTAGCTGAATTGTTTTTCCAGCTTATCCCTAGTCGATGTACCTTTTACCAAATCAAGTTCTGGTTGGCTTATCTCCATCAAATCATTTGATAATGTGGATCCAGCAGCCATTCTTTGTGTTTTTTGTATTTGCAAACATCTTCTTATCAGGGGATTAGGAAACTGTTTTAGGAGAAAAACTGCCCTATGCCAATTCTATTCTTTGATGGGACCAGCGATAAACTGTATGAAAATGGAAATCACTTACAGAACTGAATCCAAAATTTTAGATAACCGGTTAACTTTATTACAATTTTACATCCAATCAAATATGTATTTTTTTTAATTTTTACACTCTTGATACCATCAGTTCTACCTCTTGATCGTGTGATTGACAATATTGTTTATTGTGTAGAAAATTCTGAGATTTTGTTTTTTTGTTTAACGTTCTTTACAGGATAAATACATGCAAAACAGGCTAGTAAGGCTAGTATGTGTTTTCCTACAGAGTCTCATTCGAAACAAGATAATAAATGGTGAGTGTACCATCATGTAATTTTTTTTTACCAAAATACCGTCATGTATTTGGTAGATCTGCGTGCAATTCTATTTACATTCTGTATTCTGTTTGGTTGGGCCTACATAGATTGTGATTCTTGAATACTTCTCCAGTCATACACAACTGTGATCTTGCATTTATATATTGATTGGATTAATCTTCAAAAATTTCCTTCATATTGTATTAACTCAACCAATTGCTGAAAACTTGAGTTCAGTAAGGTGTCTTATGGTGGTTGCCAGTTGCCAGACATATAAAATGGTTTAAGAAGAATTATGAATTTATATTTAGTCCTCACATTCCAGATATCGAATTTTCAGTTCTTTTCTTGTGACAAACTTTGCCAAGTACTACATGTTGGGTATAATCACTAGAACCTGGTCCAAAATCATTTTCCTGACAAGCTTGTATCTTGGCTTTTTGTTAACTCTCTGTTCTTCCTTTAAGAAAAAATGTCATGATTTTCCAAGACGTGATTATTGAACCATATCTAAGAAGTAGCATTTTTACTATGCCATCTAGGAATAGCAAAATGCTAATGCACCATTCCCACCAGTTTTCAGCAAAAGAGATGCTGATTTAATAAATTTTGCATTGAAGTACCCTAATTTTGTGCATAGATATAGACATCTTATGTTCGTTTTCCTAATTTAGAATGCTGATTTTGAAATACCAATTTTTCTCATTTATCATGGCTTGTGGAATGCACGAGGCCTGTCTTGATTAATAGTGTAACATTTATACATTGAAGTCCCTTTTACATTTTTGTTGACTGTTCTGTATTTTGCAGTGCAAGATCTCTTCATCGAGGTACAGGCGTTCTGCATTGCGTTTTCCCGAATAAGAGAAGCGGCTGGTTTGTTCAGGCTTTTAAAATCGTTAGAGTGAAGAAGGATGTATGGTTTAAACAAAAATTTTCCATGGTGTACATCCATAGTTTTTCATGTTGTACTTTACCGCTAGATCTTGATAGCTGTCGACTTCATAGAATATAGCTCTGTCATGTACTAGTTGTCATCATTGAACTTTACCCCTCATCTCAAAAAGAAAAAAATAACCCAAAAAAGATTTCAGGATCCGTTCGTTCTCTGCAGTACCATACTACCATCTGGTTTTTTAAGCATGAGTTGTTATGATCAATATTATGACAAATCTGCAGCATGATGGTTAAAAAAAAAGGGGCTTTCAAAAGTGAACTCAATCACCGTAGGGTCCTGTGTAATAGTTTCTCTGATTGTTTGAGCTACGGCTGATAAATAAGCGCATATCTTATGTCAAATGCAGTTCCTGGTAGATAGGTTCAACCTAAGATCTACTTGAAGATGATGGGCAGAACTTACTTAGCGAAGGCAGCAATTGTAGAGTATATAGCCTGTACCTGCTCTGTTCATATGAATATCAGCTGGAAGTCTTGCTGTTTGAGTTGTACTTATTGGAGTTCATATTTCAAGCAAAGCCGAATTCATCATCATTAGTGACAATAGTAGTATAGAGCTGTTGGCTTTGATGCAAATCCAAAATATCATGTACTATTGAGGATGTGTGTATCAAGATGGGAATAGTATTTCTCGAGACTGAAGTGGCAAGAAATACTCTGAACATGCCAAGGTTTGTGTTTTATGTGGACTATGGAGCAACAACACCAGATTAGCTGTTTTGTCCGGGTTTTGTCAGGCGAAACAGAAACACAAGACTAGTGAATAATCACCGTGTTTCCAAAGTTATACACTGACAACAGATTATTCCAATCAATTTCGGAAAACCAGGACATCTCAGGTACTGGGCTTGCGGAAATCATTTTCATGATCTCCAAAGCACATCCTTCGACAAGAACACCACCGAATCTGGCTCGGATGACCAGCGGAAGCTTGATGTAGGAGACATGAAAGAAGAGAACAAAATACATGCATTTACTTCGTCCATGAATACAAGTATTTATAGAAATTTTAACAAGTATATATAAATTGTGTTGAAATCATTTCGGTGCCTCTGGGAATTTATTATTTTTCAAAACAATTACGCCGAACGACACTATTTATTAATCATACTCAGCTAAAATTACTACTCCAAAAATACTTAGATTTGCGGATAAATATTAAGCGCTAGGAGGTTATTAATTTGGCACAGCTACAGATCCAAAGATTTTATTTAGCTGAGTATTCCTAACTCCACAAATTCATGAATCTAGACAATTATATTGATAACATTTAGATCAATTATTTTTCTTCAATTTTAAATGAAATATGAAATTTGAAACCACTACAAATTTACAGTATTTTTCTACAAATCCAGCGTCAAACCGAGCCGAGAAATGCTTTACATCTGTTATAGAGCGAGTGTTTACATGCACTGATGCACAAGACAAACCGTTCATCACAACGGTTTTTTTTTTTTGTTGTTGCATTGCACTCTGGTCGCCGCAGTTATCTCCCTTTGGGTCTCCCCTGCACATGGGAAGGAAACTCAAGTGCTGAGCAGGGAGGAGGCAGACGGTGAAGCCACATGAGCGAGATGCCGTCCGTTTCTGCGACATGCGTCGTGCAGCTCAGCCGGCGTGTGGGGTGGCAAACCGGGCAGCCGCCCATTCCTCCGTGTTCTTCTCAAACCATTCTCCTCTCACTCCCTTACCTGACTGACTCCTGCATGCAGCCGCCTCATCTGACATTGGTAGTAATAATAATAAATTTATAAACACTATGCAGAGTTAGATTCTTGTCGAAGTCTCCATCCAAGTAAACAATTAGTTGTTAATGAGAGCTAAGCAAGTCTTCATGAGCAGTTACTAGTTAATTAGCAGCAGTATAGTTTGTTGTGTGATGATACTTTTACTCGTGAGAGTAAACTATTGTATGGTCCACTCCACATTTTTATGTTGTTGTGTGAACCCTGATGTTCGATGTTCAGAAAATTAATACCCCACCTTGTTTAGATTAAGAAAGATGTGAGTAATGTAGTTTATTTTAATTGAAACCAGTAATATATTTGTGCGTTGTAATGGGTCGGACCTATATTTAGAGATTGGTTAGTGGATAGATTGAGGATAAAGTATTGGATCCTGCAATGGTTGTGCAAAGGAGGGGAACGGCCACCTCCTTCATGCTACGGAGAGGGGGCACTGAAGGAGAACGACTCGCTTGTAGAGAAGCTAGTAATATGTGCGTGCATTGCAATAGGTTTATACCACTAGTTAGGGACAGAGATGTGGATCTAGCATAAAAAGGAGATTTTTTTATCCAACCTTTTTTTTCTATAGCGATGTTTTTTTTGTTGCGAGCGCAGCAATAGTTATTTTTAGCGCACGCTGCGTGACAAGCGGATGCAAAGGAGGATGACTTTTAGAAGGGGAAATAAGATTGATCAAAATGCATCCTGTAATGATAACTGTCCAGTCTAACCATCTTGGTCCCACTGATCTTCCTAAGAAAATCCTAATTAATTGGTGAACCTTTTAAATTCGTGTGCTCTCATATATTTCCTTTCAATTCATTCTCACACACATGGTCAAGTTGAGCTGCAAAAAACCTCAGCCCAGTGTGACTGGTTGATGCTTTAGGAATCAAAAGCCTGGCTACATATGAAAAGAAAAAAAAATAAAATGGTCATCACAGAGCAAAATGCTCTATGTTCCCTGCAAAAGGCCAAAAGCAAGCATAACCGCCCACAGCCCACTAATACAAGTAGATCACATTGCATTGCCTCCTAATCTGTTGTATAAGTGAGGATGGAGAACCAGATCAAATATAAACTAATTGTTGTGTTATGCTTAGCATAGCTATATTTAAGATCTAGTTCAATGCATCATGTGCAAGTTGGCAGCATAAAAATAATGGCACTTTCAGTTCCAGAAAAAGATCAGCAAAGAATGGTATTGTACTTAATAACACAAGCTTAATTATCAGCTCTCTGTTAATTAATTATCTGTGAGGTTGGTTGTGTGTTGTACTGTGTACTATCCTTGCTATCTTTTCGTTTTTCTTTTTTGGTTTATTTGAGAATACTAGTCATGCTTGCTTGCTGTGTAGTTGGTTTCGCAAAGGGTAGGCAAAATACTTTATTATTTACGGTATTACCTTAGTTATTCGAAGAGTAGGCAAATAATGAGCAATCAAAAAGACCTCTATTTTTATAAGGCTTAGCATGCTAATAAAGCTTAGCGCATGAGCTTTTAAATTGAATTGTAACAATAAATTTCTACTGATACAAGTTAGTATTACCCCTTTATTAAGTATTTCTTGTTTAGCAGACATTAAAGTTGAGAGAGAAAAAATACATTTTCAGTCAGCACAACGATCAAATTATAAATTTTAAATTGCTTAGATTTTTCTCCCAAGCATCTCATTGACCGAAAATGTATGGATCTTTTTTTTTCATTGAAATCGGTGTCCTATAAATAATTATATTGTGGTACAAATTTTAAATCTAAAAAAATATTTTAGAAAAGAGTACTGATTTATCATGACTACGATCTTATGGATGCCTTATAGTGTTAGATCTCTTTACTTAAAAAAAGCCTAGTATTTAACGGATCCATTAAAACCGTTAGTGGTAGAGAGATTTGGCTCGAAAAATGAAACACCTACTAGTATAGAACTTTTTTTAAAAAAATTAGACATTTTAAAAATATAATTTTATTAACTGACCACCCAGGAAAATATTTTCAAAAATGAATCGTTTGGCCAAGCCATTGCAATTGGTGTGGCCCACGCCAACGGGGCAGCTCTTGCCACACCACGACCTTGGCGTGGCAGCTCTGTTTGGCCACGCCATTGCAATTGGTGTGGCCAAATGGTTCATTTTTGGAAATATTTTCCTGGGTGGTCCGTAAAATTATATTTTTAAAATGTATGAATTATAAAAAAATCACTAGTATATAGTATATATTAACCTTATTATTATTTGGACATACTGCCGTACACACACCACTCAATTTATGTTATCCTTAATTATTATTTGGACGGAGGGCATAAATACTCCAATATATGAGTCATTCATCAGCGATGATGTTGTTGATTGCTAGATCCAGATTGGTTCAATAATGCTGATTGTTTATTTCACAAAAAAAAAAGAAAAAGAAAAATGCTGATTGTAAGTAGTGTCCCACCATTGCCGATTGGACAGGCCCAATCATCAACATCGCTCCAGCGAGCAGAAATTAATTAAAAGAGTTGTCCATTAATACAAGAAAGGTTTTTGCCATGCTTCCCATAATTTCAGAAGGATACGTATGTGTTATGCACTTATGCTACCTTCTTGATATGGATGCAAAAATCAATACAGTTTCATATAGGTGGGGATCCCCCAGAGTACAATTATTTTGTATTAAGTGCGGATATTCTATGTTTTTTTTATCCCCAACAAAAAGAGGGAAGCATTTGAGTAGTTATTGGTTCTTGATCTAATGGTTGAAGAAAGTGATTTTAGGAGAGAAAAAAACCCAGTCACTTTAATAGATGCGCGAAATATTTTCTTTTTCTTCATACCATTATTTTTTCTCATGTACATGGTTATGTCATCACATATACAATTGGCTGTTGATTCCCGCTCGAAATTTTACAAATTGACTGCACAAAATTATTATTCTACAGAGAATGTATGGGCATGCACCATGCACTTCCACTATATAATTAATTGGCTAGTTATTTTTTTTTGAGAACTAATTAATTGGCTAGTTGGCTCCTCTAATTATATATCCTGTATATACAAGGACGTGAATGAGACACATGGTTGGCTTCTCTAATAATTAACTAAACCATATCCCTACTTGGGTGCAAGTAGACAAATAAATTTGAACTGAACACCATTAGTAATTCTGTTGTCCATAACTCTGGCATCAACTTTTGGCTGGACAGCAACTCTTTCCCCATTGAAAAATTCAGCAAAATCAACCAGCAGATCAACCTTTTTTGTGGACTGATCACCAACAACGAAACTTAGGCAGAGCACAATGACTCTCACTTTAGGTTGCTTCCAAAAGCCAAACCAATCTTACACAGTAGCAGTTGGGTTAAATTAACTAGCTTTATTCGAGCATCATTAACCTGTACGGTGCCGGATCAAGTAGATCTGAATGGTCGTCGTGTAATGCTTGAAAAAAAGGAAAAAACTTTAGTTCCTGTCTAGTGCATGGCACATGGCTAAAA